CCAGCGCACAGCACATCAAGCTCGGATCAGTTCACACATACACCACAGACACAATCACTCAGAAGGTAACTTAAGTAATATGAAGATTGTCAAATCAGGCGAACTGTGTGGGTGTTTAGAGTTGCTGTGATGTGGTGATATCATGAAGGCTTATTCTCAGGAGAGTGAATTAAGCAGCGATTCTACGAATATGGAGAAACAGTCCAGCCAACCATGGATTCAGAGAGCAGTCTGGGCGACAGTGATCATCATCGAGCAAAGGCTACTAAAACCCGTGAGGATTTTCTCAGTTTACTTTGTAGAGAAATTCCTAGTCCTAAGTCTCAGGGACCAGAGACAAGGCATTTAGGCCTTTGGAAATAGGTAGACTTCCTACCTGTCTTGATAAACAAAATGAGCATTATGTGACTAATTGATTTTTTTTTTTTTTTTTTTTTTTGAGGTGGAGTCTTGCTGTGTCGCCCAGGCTGGAGTACAGTTGTGTGATCTTGGCTCACTGCAACCTCCACCTCCCAGGTTCAAGCAATTCTTCTGCCAGAAGATTCCATGTCTGAAGAGGGCCTGCTTTTGGCTACAAAATGGCCCATTGTGTCCTCACATGGCGGTAGGGCAGAAGGGCTGAAAGGGACTGACAGACTTCCTCAAGCCCTTTTACAAGGACACTAATCCCATTCATGCGACTGCAGCCCTCATGACCTAATCACTTTCCAAAGTCCTCACCTTTTAAAGCAATTGCATTGGGGATTAAGTTTCAACTTGAATATTGGAGGGACTCAAACATTCAAACCACAGCACTAGCCTCAAGATCTTGGGCAAGTCTCTAATTTCTTTCATCAGTTGGGATGTGTTTGGCTGCAAAGGAAAGACTAACCAACCCAAAGCAGCTGAAATAACAGACTAACCAACCCAAAGCAACAAAAGAGTTTATCTTCCTCATGCAACAGGAAGCCCCCAGGTTAAGTGGGCTCAGTGGTGGCAAGGGGCTCAGGCAGCCTCTCTACATTCTTGAGGCCTTTTTCTCAGGGCTCCAAGTGCACTGCTGTGATCCTAATGTCTCAGCTTCACACTTCAAGGCCCCAAAACAGGAAAGGGGTAGTGGGATCTCCTGAGGATTGTTCTTTTCTTTCAAGAAGGAAAATCTTCCTGAAATCTTCCACTTTTAAGTCACATACCAACCTATGATATTGTGATATAATAAGAAATATGTATTTGGTCTTTGTCCCCAGTTCCTGGCATAGAGCTCCTAAAACTCTTGGAATTTCCCTAGTGATCGGGGTGAGAGGACTGTTTCTGTTACTCATAGTAAGCCCCTTTCAACCATACCCGAGTTCATGTTCATGAGGCGACTGGGAGCTGGAAGCCCCTAGGTCACTTTGGGATGGGGACTGGTTGCTAGAGGAAACAACCATGTGATTAACCTCTGGAGAGGGGAGGAGGCTGGGGATTAAGCCAATCACTAATGGCCAATGATTTAATCAATCATGCCTATTTAATGGAACTTTCATGAACATCCTAAACAAAGGGGTTTGGAGAGTTTCCGAGTTGCCGAATGCATCCACGTGCTGGGAGGGTGGCTCACTCCAACTTCACAGGGCAAAACAGCTCCTGCGCTTGGGACCTTTCCAGACTTTGCACTAAAACCTCCTCATCTGGCTGTTCATTGTGTCTTTTATAATGAACTGGTAATAGTAAGTAAAGTGTTTCCCTGAGCTCTGTGAGCCATTATAGTAAATTATAAACCTGAGGAGGTGGTCCTGAGAATGCCCAATTTGTATCTAAGTCGGACTGAAGTAGGGAACATGGAGACCCGTTACCAGTGATTGGCATCTGAAGTGGGGCAGTCTTGGGGCACTGAGTTCTTCAGCAGTTCCATTTGCACTAACTCCAGGTATTTAGTGTTAAAATTGAAATAAATTGTTGAACACCCAGCTGGTATCTGGAGAATTGATAACTGGTTGTTGTGATGAGGAAAAGCCTCCCATATTTTGTGTCAGAAATGTTCTTGGGTGGAAACAAATCATTGGAGTAATAGTACTACCTTTCTGACAACCACTGGAAATGGAAATGGCATAGTTAGGATTCACTTAGGCCCATGATTCCCCCCTCAGTCTGGGTGTGCTGCTGTCCCATTTCTGAGATAAATTAGGTTTGTATTAGCAAGGATGAATGTGGCTGTGAGGGGCAAACAATGTTGTTTGCCCCAACTTTTCAAGTTTCAGTGTCCTCATCTGTAAAATGGGAAATTAATAATAATATCTCTCTATAGAGCTGTAGGTGTTCAATGAAATTATATCTGTAAATTTCTGAGCATAATGAGAGGCACATAACACAATACTTAATGCATTTTAAAATGATGTAATAATCAAAAAGACAAAAATTGAAGAACATTTCCAGATTTCATTTCATGTTTTCCTAAAGCACTGACATCTAGAAAAAGATATTAATGAAGTCTCTGGGGAATTTAAAAATAGCTGAGAGCTTCTATCTAGGATTCAGATGTCCCTTGCTTAAAATATGAATAAAATATTCTTTTTAAAGACAAGTTACAAGCTTTACATTCTGCAGACAATCAAAGTTCACTTCTGGCTCCCTGTTCTCCCTCTTGTTACTCCTCTTGCTGAGGGCCGATCACTCTCCACAATGTCTTTCCAAATATTTCTCATATCAAGTCCCCAGATATCATCCCATAGTTTCCAATAATCTTCCTACAACCAATCTGGCTCATTGGAATTCTTCTCTACTTTAGTGCTATTTAAAATATTTAAGATGTAGTGACAAAATAAGCTAAAAATACAGCACTTGAAACAAGACAGGATTTTTTTGTCTCTGTGAAGTTTAGAGGTGGGCACTCCAAGCCTCGTAAGGCGGTTTTGCCATCCTTAACACATGGCTTCTATCTCTGGGTCCAAACTGGCTGCTGTAACACTCACCATCACCCAGTGGTGGGAAGAGGAACAAGGACAGGAGGAGTATACATCCAGACTTTACGGGTATTATGTGGATAGAACACACATCACTTCTGGTCACATTCCCTTGGTCATTCACATCAAATTGATCACGTGGCCACACATAGACGCAAGGGAGGGTAGGAAGTGTAGGCTTTAGCTGGGTGACTACTTGTCAAGCAAAAACTTTGGAAAGAGAGAATAGATATTAGGGAATAGTAAACAGATACCTAAGAGTGTGCCACATCCAGGCTGAGAGCTGGTCATATGGGATTAATTTTTGATCTCATTAGAGTGTTCCAATTAAGGTGGAAAATGGCTCATTGTTCACTTGGGTATATAGAAGAGAGAGTAGTGAAATGGACAATTCAGCTCCATTCCCAATATACACATATGACTTTCTAACATATATGTGCATGGTTAACTTGCGAGCTAGTGATGCTGTAGGCTTTGTAAGCACAGGGACCACTTAGACTTTTGTATATCCACTAAAACACCTAGTATATATTATTATGCAGACTGCAGTCAACACTGTTGAGGAGGGAGCATCTCCCTTTGTTGTTCATCCCTTCTTATAAACGACTCCTTAAGGGAGAAAGAGCTACTGATTTTCTCTGGGCCTATTTTCCTTAGTGGGCAGGCTCATTTTATAAACAGTGTTGAATATCCATGTGTAATTTCTCGTTGTTCTTCTCTGCATCTGGTCAGGCTGAATTATTCTTCGATTTGGTCACCTTTCTTTCAGGGGAAGATACAAAGCAATCCTTAGAACTTCCACTTTAAAACCCATGATCTGCTACAGTTTTTTTCCAGAGCTCTGCATTGAAGGTAAGCAAGCTTTCGTTGAATACTAATTTTAAAACAGCATTTTCCCCCATCTATGTATTGTTTCTTATGTGCTCGGGGCCCTCGGATGTAGAATCTGGGGAGGAGAGGTAAGTGGTAGGATGCCAAAGCCCACCCTGATCCTCAAACATAGATGTTGAATTGAAAATGGCTTTATCTTGAATTGCGTTTTTATAACTGTATTTGGTGAAACACGGATTTCGTTTTACCTCTCTTGATTTGTATACCTAGGCTGGGCCACATAGTGAGACCCCATCTCTACCAAAAAAAGAAAAAGAAAAAAAAAGAGCCAGTAGGGGTGGCATGTGCCTGTAGTTTTAGCTACTTGTGAGACTGAGGCAGGAGGATTACTTGAGCCCAGGAATTTGAGGCTGCAGTGAGCTGTGATTGTGTGTCTGCACTCCAGCCTGGGTGATAGAGATACTGCCACAAGAAAAAGAAAAAAAAAGGATACCTGCCCGTTTTTCATGAGAAATTCTCTATTAACATGGAGCAGCCTAGTTTTACACATATGTCAAATATGTTTTAGTCTTTATTCACATAACAATCACTCTTAACAATTCAACTAAGTTCAACCCAACCCAATGACTATGAGTTTAATTAAACTAAACCTATTACCTGCTTACCCTGCTTCAGTCTCTGGGCTGGTGTTTGGGGACATACAGACAAATTTGCCAAAACCCTGTGTTCACATTCCAGCAGGGAAGAGGCACAAACAGGTAAGTGTTACAATGGTGATGTGCCACAGAATAGAGAGGAGGAAGCGTGTAAATGCCTGTAAGCTCAAAAGTTGTTCTGTTTTCAGTCCTTCCTCCTTTGTTGCCATCTCTGCACCCCATGTCTGATGTGTTTCATTCTGGGGGCAGGGAATCAGGCTAGACTGCTTATAGGTGAGTAACTCCAATCTTTTCGTATCATATTTCTAAAAGCCAATACACTGTTAAGATTCAAATAGGCCATTTGTGCTTTTAAACATAAATCAAGTTGTAGAACTATTAAAAGCATGCACTGTATGGTTTATAATATATCACTTACTGGCTTCTGCCAATATGGAGAACCAATGTGGAGACTAGAGAGAAAAAGTCTAGTTACAAAATCATATTTACTTGGGAACCCAGTCCCAAAAAAGGAACTTTCCCTGAGCTTTTAACAGTATGATGCATTATTGATTTTAGTAGCCTAGGGGCCTTTCCAGGGCCTGCCTCACAGAGCTCAACTAATGTTTATTGGTCAATAGATGGACTGACTAACTTTTTTTCCATTTTCATAAACGCTTAATGAAAAGAGAAACACAGTATATGAAGAACATGGGCCTAAGTAACACAGATATAGCCTTATGTGAATTTTAATATTTACCTATCAAAATCAAGGTCAGCATTTACCTTTTGTTAGTTCTAGAAATAGGAAAAAATGTTGTCCATAACGTTTTGATTTTTTGTGATGAAAGCAAAACATATTAAAAGTTTAGTTTGCTTGGGTATTTTTCCATCTCCAAGGGCTACACTAACTTGCCATCTTGACAGCTCTTTGAAGACAGATGTATCACTTTGCCAACCAAAATGGGTACGTCATTCACATCTTAACCTTGTTTTTGACAGCACAGCTTTCTATCAACAAAGAGGTCTATCTGTTTCTCCAAGAACAGAGAAACTAGTTGTAGTTTGATTTCCTGTAATGTCAGTATATTCACTTTGTATATGCTATGCAAACTCTATTCTTTAATATATTAATTCTTTAATATATATATGCTTTATTAATTTCATGTAAAATATAGGGAAGCCTATAACAGATGTGAAGAAATGCTAAGAAACAGAACAGTAAAGATACAGTTGAAAGTCACTTTGTACGGTTCTCTGTTGTTCTACCTGTCCCTCCATCCCCAAATATAACAAAACACTGAGCTCAAGTGAGTATCTGTCCCTCTTGATCATGTTTTAATGATGTTAGTACAATTGTGTGGATTCATAGAATTATGTTTTAAAATAAAAATTTAGGCTGGGCGTCGTGGCTCATGCCTATAATCCCAGCACTTTGGGAGGCTGAGGCTGGTGGATCACCTGAGGTCAGGAGTTCAAGACCCGCCTGGCCAACATGGTGAAACCCCGTTTCTACTAAAAATACAAAAATTACCTTGGCGTGGTGGTGCAGGCTTGTAATCCCAGCTACTCGGGAGGCTGAGGCAGGAGAATTGCTTGAACCCAGGAGGTGGAGGCTGCAGTGAGTGGAGATCACGCCACTGCACTCCAGCCTGGGCAACAGAGTGATACTCTGTCTCCAAAAAATTAAAAATCAAAAAATTAAAATAAAAAATAAAACAAAATAAATTTAACACAATAATATACTACTTTAGTAGTCTGAAATTTGCTTTTATTTTCCCACTATAGTATGTTCACAAGATATATTTACCTTTTTTTCTTTTTCTCTTTTTAGAGATGAGATCTCACGATATTTCTCAGGCTGGAGTACAGTTGCTATTCACATGTGTGATCATGGTGTACTACTGCCTTGAACTCCTGAGTTCAAGAGATACTTTTGCCTCAGCCTCCCCAGAAGCTGGGGCTACAGGCACACCCCACTGTGTCAAGCTAAGATTTTCAAAAGAGCAGATTTACTTCTTCATTTTAATTACTCCATAGTAGTATTGCATAGTATTAATATATATATTTATTGGTTTTTCAAGTGTCGGATGTTTAGATTGTCTATAAATTTTTTTTTCACAATCACTTGCTATGTTGCAATGAATAACTTTGTATACAGTTTCTCGTGCACATACGTGAGGTTGTCCCTAGTGCATACAATGGGAAGGGGCGTCGTAGATCCTACTATGTCTTCTGCTTCACTAAATGTTGCAAAGTTGGTCTCCAATGGGTTGTAAATTTATAGTCCTCCTATTCATTTAAAATAATTCCAGTTTCCCCACATCTTTGACATTATTTGATATTGTCTTATTTAATTTTTTTTGCTAATGTGTCTGATTGTTGTTTTAATGTGTGTTTTTGATTATTAAATTGGCAACAGTAAAAACCTAAGAAATACAATAGAGAAATATTTCTGGCTGGGTGCAGTGGCTCACGCTTGTAATCCCAGCATTTTGGATCACCTGAGGTCAGGGGTTCAAGACCAGCCTGGCCAACATGGTGAAACCTAGTCTCCACTAAAAAATACAAAAATTAGCTGGGCATGGTGGTGCCCGCCTGTAATCCCAGCTACTCAGGAGGCTGAGACAGGAGAATTGCTTGAACCCAGGAGGCGGAGGTTGCAGTGAGCCGAGATCACACCAGTGCACTCCAGCCTGGGCAACAGAGTGAGACTCTGTCTCGAATAAAAGAAAAAAAAAAAAAGAAATATTTCCCAGAGGTATGAATATGAAGTTAGGTTTAAAGTCTCTGGATATATGTGCTCATAATAAGTTGATTTCACAACAATTGATGATATGTATTCTTAATTTGTAGAGATTTACTTTTTTTTTTTTTTTAGTTCAAATGTTTTGAATTACAAACCAAGGAAACTTCACCTTCTCAATTTTAAATTTAGTACTTTCCAAAAAAGAGACATTTATATTCTTGGCTGACACTTGGGAGGCTAGCACTCTTATAGTTGTTTATGAATCTGTACCCTGCTAAGGATAATGAAAAAAACAAGAGAATGGAATTATAAGGCAATTGATTTAATTCTAGAATCAATATTTCTTGTATTTGTTCTCCTTAAAACCTTAAGTCCACTTTACCAGAATATATTATCTTCAGATTTCTCCACGCAAAGCAGTCATGCACTTAGTTAAGTAGACAAGAGTGCTACTGCCTATTTGTGGGAACATTTCTCTGGTGCATTACTAATCAGTCAGAAGGAGAATCAAAGTAGTTCTTATATAGCGATAGTGCACCAAATATGAAGTTTATTTCTCTTTAACAGCTCCTGTCTGTCTGGAGATGGGCCATCCACAGATATAGTCTGGTCTCTATAAGGTCTCTCTCATGAGGTCAAGCCTAATAATAGGCCCAGTCACTCTAGAGAGACAGCAAGATGAGCCTTTTTTTTTTTTTTTTTTTTTTATACTTTAAGTTCTAGGGTACATGTGCACAATGTGCAGGTTTGTTACATATGTATACATGTGTCATGTTGGTGTGCTGCACCCATTAACTCGTCATTTACGTTAGGTATATCTCCTAATGCTATCCCTTCCTCTCCCCCTACCCCACAACAGAAGATGAGCCTCTTAATGGAGAAACCAAAACCCCATAAGTATCAGTTGAAACTTTATTTTGTCTGTGCCATAAGAGGTTCTGTGACAGTTAGGCCTGATGATAAAGGGTCATGACAAGATTTTCTAAGGGGACATGTCTTAATGCGATGGACACCTCTGATAAGATAATTAGAGTCATGTAGGAAGAGGGAAGACACGAACTCTTCCAGAGACAAACAATGACAATGGCTATGTCTATGTGACATCATTAATAAGAATACAAAGGAACGGTATAATCCTAGGCTTACCTTAATGGATCCACTAGAAAAATGGCTGCCATCTGTCAATTTCTGAGCAGGGAAAACTACAGCTACAGTCAGAGAAATACCTTAGGACAGGGGCTCCTAAGCCATTTCGAATATCAGGTTTCCTGAGGAGCTTTAAAATAAATAAATTACTTTAAAAAATACACTATGGTGGGCCGAATTGTAGACCCCCAAAGACAAGCATGCACTAATCCCTGTGAGTATCGTACCTTAGGGTATTTGCAGAGCTGATTAAGTTAAGGATTTTGAGATGGGAGATTATCCCGTATTATCTGACAGATCCAGTGTAATCTAATCACAAGGGTCCTTGTAAGAGCCAGGCAGGAGTGTGAGAGGCAGAGCAGAGGACAAGAAGATGGAAGCAGAGGTCCCAGTGATGTGGGATCAGGAGCTAAAGAATGGACAGCTTCTAGAAGCTGGAAATGGCAAGGAAACAGATTCTCCCCAGAGCCTCGAGAAAGAACACAATCCTG